GTAGTGAGAATAGAAAATTTGTCTTGGATAAATGCTTATGGGCTATCTGAGTGGATGGAAACTATGAAGGTTTTCAAGAAGAGCAGAAGCATATATCGAGCATTTGTCTTGAATCATTTGTATCGTCTCCTGAAAAATATATAAATGATCAAAAAGCACTACAAACTCTATTCCCCTCCACAACTCTCCTCTCTTAAGCTACCGTTGAATAAAGTTGGCTTATCTAAATCTGTTTCTGTCTCTCAATCTGTCAAGAAGCAAGATTCTCTTATTCAGAAGTTGTCAAAGGAAGGTAAGGCCCCAGATGTCTCACCTCTTGATCTTACCCTTCCTACTAATGTCATCTAGAAGGAACTATCTTGTCTACACCTGAGCATGGAATCTTCTTTTGGGACGTGAGTAGTTGCCTTCGATTTTTTCGACCTTTTGAGATACCAATAGTTGATTCTTAGCTACTTCGTGTGATACTTAGTATCATTAAAATTGGTGAAGCCGAAAGATTCTTCTATACCTTGATTTCGGATGAACTAAAGAAAAGAGATGCTCTTGCAGCCACAAATACAAATGTTATGGAAGTTAATGATGATTGGTAGCTGATCTATCTATGTGACTTCTCCTTCAACTATTTTCTTCATTATAAGTATTTATATTCATTGTCTAGCATAGATGCAATTTATATTTCAGTATTTACTTCAAAAAAAATTCATTCTTTATTTGTTGCTCTCTGATTCATTATTTGTTTGTATATGCGTTTACAGTTTAAAAAAAAGGAAATGAACCCAAAAAGAATATGTACATGGGTCACTGAATTTATAAGTTCTTATTCTCAAAGAATTTGAGTTTGTGTCTCTTGTATTTATTTCTTTCTAAGTGTTTGTGTCATCATCAAATAAAGGGAGATTGTTGGGTCACCTATTGATTTGGTGATGACCCACTGATATGTTCCTCTATCTTATCAACACTTAGTAGTTATTGGTTTCTTTATATATTAGTGTCTTGGTACATACGTAAAGTCATTGACAAAATCGAAGACTAGCCTATGTGAAGACAGAAGGTCACTGATGCGGTACTGTGTATCAACTGTTTAAATTACACACCAAGACTCCAGAGTAGATGATTGGAAGATCGAAGATATTTTGAAGCTACAAGCGATTGAAGGAAGATCTTTATGCACCGAAGATTTGTAAGTAGATGTTTGAAGCTACTAATTCATCCAAAAAAAATCTTCCTACAGACTGACCATATCTCTGCAAAATTTTGTCTCTGCATGAACAGTGTTGTATGCACCCAGTGTACAATGAAAATGAGATATCAATAATGGTCAAGTCAGCCCCTGTCTTCTTATCCTCAGGTGACAAGTGTCCCCATACATTTAATGTTGAAGGTAGTATAAAAGGCAGTATGCATCTCCCATGCAAAAAATGACTTCCTTGAAAGATTTCTAAGTGCATTTTCAAGGCAATCAGCTCTCTCTTCTTCTACTCCCTAGTCTCCTGTGTGTGAAGAAAATCTTCATGTTCTTCATTTTCTTGCAAGTATTCTCTATATTGTTCTTGTAAGTTCTTCTCTTTGTAAGATTGTTTAGGTTGGGTTATCCTTTTCTTCTTCCGCAACAATCTTTATTGTATCTCTGTGTGTTAATTTATGATATTTCATCAATAAGAATTAAAAAGTTGAAAAAGTTTGTATAATTGTATTCAACCCCCACCTCTCTATAGTTACTTCATGTTTATTGTCATCCCTTTTGGGACCAACAACTATTGCAAATACGAAATAGTAATGTTCTATACATCAAAAGCATACTTATATACATGTTTTAGAATCTATGACTATTTGAAACACAATGGTACTTTCAGGGAAGGATAAATACCTTCAAATAAATAGGAGACAAACAACAAAACATTATTTATAAGAAAAGACTTACCCAGTCACATATATGTCAGCAGGATTGTCAACATTAAGCCAATCTTCAATATGTAAGTCTTCTGGCAGATGTTTCCTTCCAACATTCCAAGTGTCAACAGATACTATATTACACAAAATAAAGCGAGAAAGAAAAATACAAGGTATCAGATCAACTAGTCTGATGCTCACGGTAGCCAAATAACACAAAAACTCAAACAAATACTCATATAAAAAAAACAACCTCAGTGAACTACAAATCAATAGTTTGATTACAAATACAAACATTCATTCAAGTCTTCAATATCAACAACAAATTTCAGTTGTCTGTTAATTTCTTCAACATCAATGTCCATATCCATATTTAAACCTAGAAGATAATAGATTTAATTAATGAAAGGTTATGTAAAATACAAAATAGATGAAACTAAACATAGATCAAACAAATACATTTAATAATTCAATATTTTTATACATAATCAACGGACTACTCTTGCAAATTTGCAAGAAAATAACAAAAAAGAGATGAAATATGTGTAAAATATAAAAGAGGTGTTAAAGAACACAAATCAAGCAAATTTCAATCATGAATTTAGTGATTTTATAGAATTAATAGATAACACAACAAATTTGAAAGAAAATCACTTACAGAGAACAAAAATCAAATAATGTAACAACTTTAAATCAACTAGACGAATTAGGAAGACACTTTTGAATCTTTCACGGCTAGAAAAATCACTATTTCAAGGCGAAAGAATCACGATTTCATGGGGAATCACCTTCCATGGCATCGGTGATCACAGAGAGAATTGGACGATTGTCTTCGAATCACGTATTGATTGGATGAGGATAATTAGATTGAAAGATTCACACAATGATGAAAATACCCTTCTAGTGTATTTTGAGTTAAATTGGGACTTGATTTAAACCATTGGATCAACCTTAATAAAAAGTAATCAAAGGCTCAAATCCTTTCTTACCTTTGTTAACTTAAGTCCACTTCTCACATGATTTCACGCTTATATCTATATCGAGAATATATATATATATATAGGGGCTGGTTCAAATACTAACCAAGATTATCGTGTTAACTTTGTTAACCAATCTTGGTAGTTGATTTGAACATCCAACGGTTATCATTTATTGAGACTAAAAATTTAATTATTTAATTACCATATTAATAAAAAAATTATTAAATAATTAAATTAGGTTCACAATGGTTCAGATGGTAGAATTGTAAAAAATGAATGATCTTAACGTATCCTATTTTGTCAGCCTATTATGTAATTTCCAATCAATAAAGAAACCGTCAATCTCATCGATATCTTAAATCAGTAGCTAAAAATTAGGTTCATAATCTTCATCAAAACAATGGAGGATTTGGAAGGATTATCAGGCGACGGCATCCAGATAAGATTAAAACATGTGTGTGAACCTAATGAACAATGTGTGAACCTAATGAACAATGTGTGAACCTAATGAACAATTGAAAAATTAGGTTCATAATCTTCATCAAAACAATGTGTGAACCTAATGAACAATTGAAAAATTAGGTTCATAATCTTCATCAAAACAATGTGTGAACCAAATGGACATATTGTATGAACCAATTGAACACATATGTGCACGAGTGAACACATATGTCGACGTTTGAGTGAACATGTGCGTGAACGGTTTGATCATTTTCTTCACTTTCGGAATTCGAATTCCGAATGTATTCGTAGACACTTTTAACTTTTTCATTCTCATTGTCGTCGATCTGTTTTACTCTATGATTATCCATATTACTCGGACTATAACGGAATATTTACAAAAGGGACTTTTTTGAAATTTACAATATCAAAAYCATTGTAGGAAGAATGAAATGTAAAAATCAGTAAGATGAACAAATGTGAAACTTCATGTCATTATTACATGAAGATCAATTAGTGAKATTTTAATATTTGTAACTCCCAATTAAAATATTGGGGAGTTACACAAAAATGACAAATTACCTAAATACTCTTACACTTAATATGTGAGTTACATTTGAACCTGACTAAAAGATGGAACATGATTGGTTGATGTTGGTTAGCATAGTTAACACAAAAAAATKGGTTAGTATTTGAACCAACCTCTCTATATATATATATATAATATTATATTAATATTTGATTTATAGAGGCGAATTTTATTTTTTTTTTACTATAGAGGTCATCTCCCTTTTTCAAAAAATAAATAACTTTGAAGACCTCTATTTTTTTTAGTGTTTTAGTATTGTGTTGTAGATGAAAACTCCTTCATTTTTGTATTTTTAGTATTAGATTGGAGATGCCGTAATTACCCATTAAAATACTTTTTTTTATTAACCTGGATATCCTACCCGCTATGCGAGCTGACTAATCTCAGGGCGACCATCTGCTTTGCAGATAGCTCAGAGTCACCGCATTTGAACCTCCATGGCCACAAGAGGATTTTTATTCCTCCTTGGATTTGAATCTGGGACGTCCTGATACTTTTGATCTTTGAAGCCAAGCTCAAGTAGTGAAAAATGTTCATGTTTTGAAAATTCAGGCTACTATAAATGTGTCGAGAAATAAACAATGACACTTATATCTTATGTTATTCTTTCCAAAGATGATGTGATTTAAAAACACATGTAGTCGTCTTTTCATATAGCTAAGCACATGCCCTCATGCGAGTCGATACTCTTGGCCCTTCGCATGCTACAATGTAATAACTTATAATCATAGACGGACTAGAAAAAAATATTCATATGGTGGCATATACAAGGGTTGGATTCCGATGAGAATTAGAGTTAAATGAGAAGTGTAAGAAGAGATTTCCACTTTTAGATGTACATTAAGATGACATGCACGGGATTACCCTGTATCAAGCGCAATTCATGGATGAGTTTGAAATTAAAGGTGATCGAATGTCCAGATCCCTTCTTATGCTTCTCATCTTAACTCTTTTTCTCACATAATCCTTTATCTAAAAGGGGTTAGTTGATTTTGTTTTTATTATGCTGATTGTGCATGAAAATATTGACCAAATTACATTGTCTTATAGGACGTGACCTTTGTTCCGTTGCATTACATCATATCTCTTGGACCCTATTTTTAGAAAACTAGAAATATATCAAAATATAACAAATAACACCCATATTCTTTCAAAAGATGGACACCATTTGAAAAACACATGTACTCTGTCTTTTTGTATCGCTAGCTAGGCACATGCACGCATGCGAGTCGATACTCCAACATGCTATGATATTGAAATGTACAACCAAACGGACAAAATTAAACCAATAAATAAATATCCTCCTCTCGGCTCACCGCATGCGATCAGCTGCAATGCTCTCCCAACCCCAACTGCTGCACCGATCGGGGGCGGCCTTGCCTTGTGCATTTTCACATTTCTCCGCACATCAGACTCCAATTTGAAGTGATAAGGCTGATTTTGTTTCTAGTTAGGGTGGGTGTGCATAAGGTCAGCCAGCATGATCTTGCCGCAGTTTCCGCTGTCCAACCGATCAAATATTTTGCATATCTGTAATATGTCTTTCTCCGAGATCTTTCCCATCTCCTTTAGCTTGTATATCACAAACTCCGATTTGCTGAAACACGTTCAATATCAGAATCTAGCAAGACGGCATCACAGTAGTTAAGCCCTTCCAAGCAAAAAGAACAAAAACCACGACATCCAAATATTTGTGTCCGGGTATCATTTGGAGTAGAGGTTAGGTCTGCATATATCTTACCCTCCCCAGAACCTACCTGTGTGTGGAATATAATATACCGGATTCGTTTGGTTTGGTTTAGAAAGTAAAGCAAAGCAAAGAAAAAGCAATGATGCTTCTAGTGATTCACATCTGAATGTAAACTTTCGGCATCATGGGGCAGATGCAAGATGCAAATAGAAAGATCAAAAACTACTGGAAAGGTGGAGATTCTTTATTATGGCAAGTGTCAAATGTGTTAAAAACTCTCAATGCAGGACCAATAATCACCGAGAAGAACATACAATTGTAACATTACGACCGGTGGCTTCAGTGCAACTGTGTGAGTATTTTAATGGAAGTGTATGATACATAACTGTTGGAGTCTTACATTGGTTACATACGGTCCATGAGACCTCTATATATGTTGAACCTTCCCTTTCTATTAAAGGGTTATTTTAGAGAGATTCAAAAGGGTTCCACCAAGGTTCTAAATGACGTGAGGCGTGGCGTGACGACAAGGTAAAGCCTTACAAGTTACGGCAAAGTTACGGAGTTTTTCAAGGCGTGCTCTAAGGCGGCATATTTATACATATATACATATACTTGTGTGTGTTAGTGTATTGAATAATCCCGTAGAAGAAGTTATAAAACTAAAATGGAAAGACAAAATATTTATATCAAATATATCGAACTTATAAGAAAATGATATCAAGAATGCAAAATTGGAATTAAATCTCTCGAGTCCACACTCACCACTTTCTTCAATCTTCAAGGAATTCTTATTCAACCCTCCATGTACAAGAGTAAGGATTTACCTATTTAGGGTTTTAGTTTTTATGTTCCATTTTAATGTTTATTTAAGTTTCAGGTATTGTTCATCCCCCAAGTTATATGTTTAAAAGTCCAAAAAAGTTACCCATGCCTTACAAAATAACGTGTCAAAGCAAGTCAAGCCTTAGAGTGGAACCACACGGGTGAAACCTCGGTGCCATAATGCACCATAGCAAGGCCATAGCGAGTTATTTATAACCATGGGTTCTAGATATCCTGAATGGTAGCCTGCATCTAGCACCACCTAGACTTGACACACTCTTTCACAACCCTACTTGGAGGCACCGTCTTGCCTCCATTTGAGGGAGCTTTTAGGCTACATATTAAGTTTTTTGAAATACAAAATTTAAAGTATGCTCCTATGTTTCATAGAATGAATGAAAGTATATTTGTGAAAATAACAGAAGTCAATGTATTGTTGCGTCTTAGAACTACACCTGCTAGACGCGGTCCACCAAACCTCTGTATATGTTGTAACCTTCCATTCTCTATCAAGGGTTCTTTAGAGAGAGATTCAAAGGATTCCACATATCCTCACATGGCGTCAGAGCCTACATCTAGCAATACCTAGGGACTTGACACACTCTTCCACCTCTGTTCTTGGAGGCATCGTCTAGCTTCCATTTGAGGGGACGTGTTGGAGCTACATTCTGCTAGACATGAAGTTGTTAAAGGCTCAAGGCGCACTTAGGCACAAAGAGGTCCTGGGGCCTAGGCGGTAGGCGCAGGCCTCAGGAATGCTAGGCGCTTTTTATCAGAATATATATATATACACACACACGAACAGTTACACATAACTCAAATATGCAGCAAGTACAAGCCTACAATGCAACAGCCAACAATACTTTGATAGAGGCAGAAGAGAGAAGTGTTTAAATCGTGAGCCATGAGGGAGAAGTTTTAAGGTCCGGGTATTTATAGAGGGGAGGCTTGAAGCTCTAAGAACTCGGTATCTACTATTAGGGTTTGACTTGTATCATCTATTTCATAACTCTTTGTTAAGAAGTCTAGGAAATGAGAAGATAAGAAAACTTATTTAATATTACGGTTTGACTAGATATTTAATAACTCTTTATGAGGCACGCCTAGGCTCACAAGACGCCTCAGCCAAGGCACAGGGGGCCTTATTGACCCTGGTGAATACGCCTAGCCTCGACTTTAAAAAAGCCCAAGACCTTGAGCCTTATGAGCCTCAGACCCTAGGCGCACCTTATGCACACTTTTAACAACTATGGCTAGACATAGTCCATTAAACCTCTATATATGTTGGAACATTCCCTTATCTATTAGGGAAAAGTACAAAAACACCCAGTGGACTTCAATGTTTGGAATAACCAAGTCCTTGGACAATTTTTTGGAACGAATAAGTCATTAGACATTCCAAAACCTGTTAAATAGCTCCTTGGACTTTCTAAAACTTGTTAGATACATCTTTATCACTAAAAAAATTTAACCTACAACCTAGACATCTGGTAAATTTACAAATTAAAAAAAAAAAACCTAAAACTAACGTGTTCATCCTCCCTCCAGTCCCATGGTGGGCCCTCTCCCCCTCGTCGCTACCCTATCCCCCTGCCGTCGTTGCTAACACCTTCAGCACAGCCCTGTCACCGTTGTACGCAGATCATTTATGCTTTGGGTACAGCTTTTGTATCTTTTGGGAAGAGTAATGAGAACGGTATATTTGTTTTATTTTATAAATGCAAGTACTTTTTTGGCTCAAAAAATGTTTAGGGACTTAATCGTTCAAAATATGAAAGTCCATTGTCTTTTTTTTCAGACTTTTTCCATTATTTTACCACATTAACCAGTTTTATAGGTCATAAGGATGTATCTATCAGGTTTTAGAAAGTCGAAGGAGTTATTTAATAGGTTTTAGAAAGTCCAACGAGTTATTTAACAGGTTTTCGAATGTACAAGGACTTATTTGTTCCAAAAAATTGTCGAAGGACTTAATCATTCCAAACACTAATGTCCATTGGGTTTTTTTAGACTTTTCTCTATCTATTAAGGACTCTTATAGAGAAAGATTCAAAGAGGTTACCACATATCCTCACATGATAGCAAAGCCTGGGTCTAGCACCACCTAGGGACACACTCTTTTGCCTCCATTCTTAGAGGCACCGTCTAGCTTCCGTTTGATGGTGCGTGATGTAGGCCTACACCAGCTAGACACAGTCCATCAAACCTCTATCTATGTTGGAACCTCCCCTCATCTATTAGGTTGTGTTTAATACATGGGACAGAATAAAACTAGATAAAATAAAAACTTGTTGTCCCACGTGTGATGCGACATTAGACTAGGATAGGACTTATTTTTTGTCCCACCAAATAGATGGAACAATAATTAGGAAGATGGCACAAGATTGGTAAATTACTAAACTACTTGTCAATTAAAACCAACCTTACACAATTCTTAACTCGTTTAGAGAGATTTTAAGAGGTTACACATATCCTCACAACAACATAGACGCATAAATGAGGTGTTGTATATATAATATGTATGCATTTGTGTAGTTGATCTAGCATTCAACAAATAAAGCTTCCATAAAATATCAACAAAACCAGTAAAGAAACCATATCAGAGACGAATCATTTACCTCACATAGCCATTGTTATCGATATCGGCTGCAAGAAACTGAGAAACAGTCAAACCTTGATCAAGAACCAGTTTCGCCATCTTCCTATGCCGTTTATCGATTCTAGCCTCTGCCAAGTAAAGAAACGCCCGAGCCACGGCCAGCGTTGACACAAGCAACCAAACTGACGCAAAAAGCCGACCGCCCATTGACCTAAATGCCCTATCCCCATACCCAACAGTAGTAACAGACATAACCGATAGATAAAATGAATCAACCCAATCTAACCTTTCCACAAAATGCATCACAGCAACACCGATCCCTATACAAAGAATCACAACCCCCAATGCTAATGCCACCTTCATTCGAATCCTCATCCTACCCTTTTTGACATCAATTATATACGAAGGATGATGATGATCTTGCTCGTGACCAGCCTTTAAAGATTGTAACAAATGATTTTCTTGCAAATCAAGAACATAGCTAACCATCCCACTAAGCAAGATATCAATAAACCCAAAACCGATTAACACAAACATGATCGAAAACAGCTTCGTAACAACACTATTTGGAGTTATATCTCCATACCCAATTGTGCACATTGTCACAATGCAGAAATAAAGAGCATCAACAACCACATGTGTCTCAGAAGCAACAAAATGTTCTTGATTGTACCAATATATAAGTACACCAAGTGATAAATAAAGAATCAATAGCAATACCGCTTGGCGAACGATGGTTGACGATGGAGGTTTGGATTCGGAATGGTGTTCGAAATCGTTGATTGCAGCCATGGCAGGGGCGGTTTTCGAGCGATGGAGATTGGTCTTCCCGAATGAGTAATTGGGATCCGTTAACCACGATTGAGGTGACGGAGCTTGTTGTGGGTCAGAAATGATTGAATTCGAAATCGAATTTGAATTCGAGTTCAAATTTAAATTCAAATCGCAAGCAAATGGTTTCTGGGTATTCAACGATAGGGCTAAGGCATCAACAATGCTTGAAGATGGTTCTTTTGGGGAACCAAAAATGAGCATATCTTTGAGTTCTGAAGGAGTTAAGGGTAAAGGGATAGAGATTTCATCATCTTCAGGAAGAGAACAAAGTTGGGATGGTGTTCTTGGTGTATTTGTCGGAAGAAGTGGTTCTTTATCCATCTTAATTTCGCCGGAAAATCGTTTCGATTTCAAGACATCGATGGTTTTCTGGTAAAATACGGTGGTTTCCCGATGTGGGTATGATTGAATTCGCAACAAAAAGGGGAAGAACACCAAAACTCTTGAAATCAAAAACCCTTATTACAAGTATAGAGTGAAGGTTTACTCCGATCCTTGTGGTGATAAAGAAGATTCGTGGTGACGTGTATGACCGATACTCAGACTGGATTGACGGAGAAAAAAGGGATGATGTATAAGATTAAAAAGAGATTTACGTCAATAATCGAACCTCAGCCATGAACAGATGATACTCGACATGTGTCTCTTTGAATACACGAAGCAAGTTGTTAGAACGAAAATCAATACTTTTCAAACTTCAGGTAATCATGTCATCGTTGACGACTTCATGTCCATTAACCATGTGGATGTAGAGTATACAGAGAATAAAAAGTAGGAGTATTATTTGATAAATATGTTAAATAAATGAATGATATAATTTTATACGATTGGTTCGACTCAAAAGAAATATCATGGATATGAAATGATTTAAGGTGACAAAAGTAAGAAAATATATGGACTTTTGATCACCTTTAATTTAAATTCATTAATGAATCATGTTTGATACGAAAATTTCATCCTAATATGCATTCAAGAATGAAGATCTCTTCTTATTTTTTTTATCGGAACCCAACATTGAGATGATAAAAGGTTCATAATCATATATCATTGATGCATTTTTTTTGTCTAAGGAATCGTGTTCATGAGGTGAGGATGATGTGATACAAATAACAAATTTATCTGTTTATATTATTGAACAAAATAAATGAAACATAAAGTGTATGAACGTGTCATCACATGTTAGTCTTGTAAATGGTTATCATCCTTGATGTCAATGAGTTCATCGATTCTTGTTCATCATCCACCATTGAGAACATTGTCTAAACTATAATTTGGATTTCGAATGATATAAAAAGCCAATTTCTAAGTTGGTTGTTTAACCATTTGGTGGCTGACTTGCTATTAGTCGGGTGTTTTTGAAGATGTTAGTTTCTTAGGTATTGAATGATGTATGGTTTGTTCACAGGTGGACCTATCAAGGAGGTAGGGGTACTCAAAATACCGACCAACCTGACCAACCCAACAAGAAAAAACTTTAAAAAAAAAAAAAAAAAAAACTCAACCTGATGTAACACAACGCATAATTGATACAAAATTAGATCAAACTGCATCTATTGGGTTGAAATTGGGATAATTTGAATCCAACCCAACCCGATGCCTTTTCTATACTACAGATTTAGTATTGTTGTCAAGTCCTTGATTATATATGTATATTAGACATTAGATCAACCTGTAATGAGCTATATTCAAAATTATATTACAATTTCAACCGTAATTTTACTTTATTATTTGCATGAAATTTCAATCTTCTTTTGAGTTTATTAGTCTTTTTTTGTATGTTTTCATTTTGATTTTATTTCGTTCTAGCTAGATTATAAAATGATGTAACAACAATACCCAATTAACCCGACCAACCCAACACACCCCGAACGTTTAGGATGGGTTAGGTTTTGATTGGGTTGGGTTGGATTGAGTTGAGATTTTCCAAATCACATACATTGAGTTGGCTTGTTCAAATGTCTTTAACATGTCCAACCCAACCCATGTGCAACCCTACAAGGAGGTAGAGGTGTATGGAATACAACTCAATCATTTCATTGTAATGGAAAAAAGTATTGGTTGTAAAGGTGCATCCGCTTAATTTTAAGAGTTGAATTTATATTCTTTAAAACCAAATTGATAATAGAAATTTGAAGGTGACTGAAATTGTCAGGTTACTATTTGCCTTTCTTAAGGTCATTGTTTCGATTTTTGCTTACCATAGAATCCTACAGATTTAGCAATCAAATGTTGTGTTTTTGCTTTCTATTTGTCTCCATCTTACTCTTTTTTTCGAGTCTTTCTTCTTTTAATTTACCCATTAATCTAAAATTTGTGTTATGTCTCTTTTTTTTTTCCATCTCAACACATTTATCTAAAATAAATAGAAAAAAATATACAATTAAATCACATTTAAAAGTGCATATATTCTAAAAATTCCTAATTATAAAGTTTACAGATATCCAATTTTGTTACTACTAAATATTCCTTAAAATATGATAAAAGAACCACTATTGGGAAACCTTTAAACCGACTGTTTAAAATATGAATTCCAAATACATAAAAATGGGTGCCAATTGCACAAATACCAATTGATGCCTCTCAAACAACTAAAATGTAGTACTCAAAATTCAAAAAGGGACAAAACAGAAACTTTCAAAAAAAACAAGGGTTAAAAATGTAACTTTTGGAAAGTTATGTAATACAAGAGACAAATATCACATTTATAAAGTTTGAGGGGCTAAATGTCAAATCCCGAACCTTGATTGTAGAATTCCGACTCACCCTAATCCTAACCCTAGTAATGGGACAGTAGTGGAGGCTGTCGCATGTTCAAGGCGTATTTCATGAATAGGAGATTATATAAACAGATTTTTACACATGTTTCGAGCTATTTATGAAAATAATTGTTTTATTAGATAAAATTGTATAAATAATATATATATATATATGGTATATTTCTTTTACAACCTTGTGTATTTGTACAACCCTTGCAACCCAATTAATTGAGATATTTATAAAAATGATAGGAGTTCATTTATTATGATTTGAATATTTATGGAATATGAATAGAGTTCATTAATTATGATTAATACTTTATATTAGAAAATAATCAAAACTTCTATGAAATCACATATTCATCAAATGAAATGAACGGTTGAGATTGAGTTGTATTGGTTGCACAAATGTCAAGGGTTGTATAATAACCAACCTCTATATATATATATACTAAATAAGTAATTTGGATGACACATGTCATCTTCTGGTGAGACGGTTATTTTGTTTTCTTGTCTAAAGACGTATCTAAGAGGGTGTTTGAGATTGCTTATAAAAACTGTTTTTTAACTTATTTCAATCTGGCATCGATGATAAGCTGTTTTCTGGTGTTTGGATAAGGAAAAAAAAACTGCTTATACCGGTGCCAAACCGGTAATAAGCTGTTTTTGATAAGTTAATCCTTCCTTACTTATGAAAAAAATGCTTATTACCAGTTTACAATTTTAACCCTGTTTTATTTAACTCCGGTTTGATACCACATAAGTTAATAAGCACTTTTACAAAAAAACATAARTTGTTTTAAATAAGCAATCCCAAACACCCACTAAATACAATTTACATTATCAGTTCAATTAGACTCATTTGAATGTATTTAGACACAATTTACATTATCAATTCAATAGACTCATTTGATTGACATGTGTCCTCTTATTCAATCAATCACACTAATTTAGAATGTAATTGATTTTATTTGGGTTAATTAATTCATGTGGTAACTGATCTCGAAAAATGGTGTTTATTTTAGAGTTTTTCTTCAGAGTTATTCTTCAAAATTATTCTTCAGAGTTTTACTTCAGAGTTATTCTTCAGAGTTATAATTCACAGTTATTCTTCAAAGTTTTATTTCAGAGTTATTCTTGAAAGTTATACTTTAGAGTCATTATTCAGAGTTATACTTCAGAATTATATTTTCAGAGTTATTCTTCAGAGTTATACTTCAAAGTTATTCTTCAGAGTTATTCTTCAGAATCATAATACAGAGTTATACTTCAAAGTTATTATTCAGAGTTATCCTTTAGAGTTATTCTTGGAGTTATTCTTCGGAGTTATACTTCAGAGTTATTCTTCGGAGTTATTTTTCAGAGTGATACTTCGGAGTACTTCAGAGCTATTCTTCAGAGTTATATTTCAGAGTTATTCTTCGGATATTACTTTGGAGTTATTCTTCGGAGTTATACTTCGGAGTTATTCTTCGGAGTTATTCTTCAGAGTTATTCTTCGGAGTTATACTTCAGAGCTATTCTTCAGAGCTATACTTTGGAGTAATACTTCAAAGTTATTCTTCGAAGTTATTTTTCAGAGTGATATTTCAGAGTTATTCTTCAGAGTTATACTTCAGGGTTATTCTTCGAAGTTATTCTTCATAGTTATTCTTCAGAGTTTTATTTCCGAGTTATTCTTGAGAGTTATACTTTAGAGTCATTTCTTCAGAATTATTCTTCAGGGTTATTCTTTAAAGTTATACTTCAGAGTTATTCTTTAGAGTTATTTTTTCAGAGTTATTCTTTAGAGTTATACTTCAGATTCATTCTTCCGAGTTATACTTCAAAGTTATTATTCAGAGTTATGCTTCAGAGTTATTATTCAGAATTATTCTTCAGAGTTATTCTTCGGAGTTATTTTTTGGAGTGATACTTCAGAGTTATTCTTCAGAGTTGTTTTTCAGAGTTATAATTCAGAGTTATATTTCAAAGTTATACTTCAGAGTTATTCTTCGGAATTATACTTCAAAGTTATTTTTCGGAGTTACTCTTTAGAGTTATTCTTCGGAGTTATTCTTCGTAGATATTCTTCAGAGTTATATTTCTGAGTTATTCTTGAGAGTTATACTTTAAAGTCATCTTTTCAGAGTTATTCTTTAGAGTTATACTTCAGAGTTATTTTTCAGAGTTATACTTCAGAGTTATTTTTTCAGAGTTATTCTTTAGAGTTATACTNTATTCTTTAGAGTTATACTTCAGAGTTATTTTTCAGAGTTATACTTCAGAGTTATTTTTTCAGAGTTATTCTTTAGAGTTATACTTCAGAGTTATACTTCAGAGTTATTTTTTAGAGTTGTTCTTCGGAGTTATTTTTTGGAGTGATACTTCAGAGTTATTCTTCAGAGTTAGTTTTTTCAGAGTTATAATTCAGAGTTATATTTCAGAGTTATACTTCAAAGTTATTCTTCAGAGTTATACTTCAGAGTTATTTTTCGGAGTTATTCTTTAGAGTTATTCTTCGGAGTTATTGTTCGGAGTTATTCTTCGGAGTTGTTCTTCATAGTTGTACTTCAGAGTTATACTTCAAAGTTATTCTTCGGAGTTATACTTCAGAGTGATACTTTAGGGTTATTTTTCAGAGTTATACTTCAGGGTTATTCTTCGGAATCATTCTTCGGAATCATTATTCAGAGTCATTCTTCAAGTTATTCTTGGAGTTATTTTTCAGAATCATTTTTTAGAGTTATAATTCAGAGTCAATGTTCAGAGTTATACTTTAGAGTCATTCTTCGGAGTCATTCTTCAGAGTCATTCTTCAAAATTATTTTTCAGAGTTATACTTCAAAGTCATTTTTCAGAGTTATACTTCAGAGTTATTTTTTAGAGTGATACTTCAGAGTTATTATTCAAAGTGATACTTTAGAGTTATTCTTCAGAATTATACTTCAGATTTATTCTTCTAAGTTATACTCCAGAGTTATTATTCAGAGTTATGCCTTAAAGTTATTTTTCGAAGTTATTCATCG